TTACTTCCTACTCGTAAGCGCCCCCTCTGGTGGGGAAACGTTTTTCAGGGATAAAAACTTTTTCAGAACACCGGTAGACGGCAGCCATTACAGACGAACATGTGTTTGCTGTTGTTCGAGGAGCAGCCCGGTTACACGCATCATTAGTTCGTTATCATTACTAAGCTGCAGGACTACTTTTCCCTCTTTTTTTCACATCATGTCGCCTGCCTGGATCTGTTATTATCTCGCTCTGAAGCACAGAAGAGTGTCAGAGGTAAGCTCGTTTCAAATGCTTTTTACGATGCGGTCTCATTTCCAGCCTGAATGAAACCGATATTTCAGTTAAAATACATAAGTAAAAATATTTATCCGAGTATAATACTACACCCCAAATTTATGGGTGATTTTATGGATTAAATTTTACGTATTATACTTGAATAAATACGATAAGTAAAAGGTTACAGAGTCACACTTAAAAAAGCAAATGCTTAATTAAACGTAATTAGTCTCCAGTGTAATGAAGTGGACACATAAGATCATCTTTACCTTGGACACGAAGCACTCTGCTATGGCCACAGGGTCTGCATTGCACTTCTCAAGGTCATGAAGCAAGTCTCTGAAACAAACATCACAGAAGTCCGTAAATTGACAAGTTGTGAACAAATACCACAAGATCTGATTTCTCTTCCTTCCTGGTTGAAAAAACCTGAAAATTCAAAATGGTGGAGTTTAGGAGGAAGAGCCACTCTGAGTACATAAACTGGGTCTCAGGGCACTCGGCCCTGAACAAAAAGGAAACTTCCATGAMTTCATACAGCCAGCTCCCATGTGTAGATGTGCATGCGTGTTTTAAGAGCACACTGTGGAAAACGGCTGCTGCTGAAGTTATTGTTTCGTGGCTGAAGCGTGAGGTCACTGTGACCACTTTAAACTGCTTTTTTATGCTTCCTTTTATTAGCTGGTTTGTCTGGGTGCAGCTGCAGAGAAATGAATAGGTGGGAGGAAATGTTTGTCTCCAGATTACCATAAATGATGCTCAACAGGCCACATCGTCTGGATATAGAAGTCAGAGGCGCACAGTTTGAAGAGGTACTGGGTGGGGAAACCACAGACCTGACGGCCGCAGGAAAACTCTTAGCAGAAATGAACAAGTGGCTTAGTCCAGTTTAACCATTAGCTGGACATAAGCAACTGCTTCATTTTGCTTTTTTATCCATTATAACAAAATGTTTAGTAAYTGGTGGCAAATATATTTAGCAGGGCTGTGTATTGGCAAGAATTTTGTGATATGGGACATTTTATAACAAAGCAGTGACGAGATGATATATCGCGATACATAGAGATCCTGTAAGCAAGGGGATATATTGCAATACATGGTCTTTTTTCTCTCCAAAAAAATCTAATTTTATGTGTTTTATATGTTTCACATTTCTAAATTCATCCATGTTTTCAATGGTTGAGCCAATGTCAACTTTATTTATAAAGCACTTTTAAAAACAGCTAATTGYTGCACCAAAGTGCTGTACAGCAATCCACAAATATCACAAAACCACAATAATTGCTAAAATACATAATAAATTACAAYCAATAAKAGTAAGAACAGATAAATTACAATGCCAGGCCTTACTTTAATTAAATACCATTGAATAAAAGTGAGTCTTGAGAAGCACTCTGAAGTTTTCCAAGCTGTGAGCAGCTCTAATATGAAAGGGCAAGTTGTTCCACAGATCGGGAGCAGACACAGCAAAAGCACGATCACATTACATTATTTATTACATGTAAATCTGGATCTTGAAACATCTAGAACAGAGGTGCCCAAAGTGGGGCCCGCGGGCCAAAATTGCCCTCTCAGGGAAAACTTTTGGGCACCCCTGATCTAGAAGCATCTGGTTGTTTGACCCTCAGTGTTCTAAATGAAGACTTAACATGCAAAAGATCTTGAAGATAGGTTGGAGCAAGGCCATTCAAAACTTTAAAAACTAGCAATAAACTCTTAAAATCAATGCTCAATATGCTCATGTTTCTGTGTACCAGTTAAAAGTTGGGCTGCAGCATTTTGAATAATTTGGAGACAATGCAGGGAGGACTGATCGATGCCCTTGGATAATATATTTGTGACAGCTTTTATATTCATAATATTGATTTTTTATAATAATATGGTCACCCACCACACTAACAATAACCTATATCTGGTGCTAAAGTTTAGTAAAGAGATGAAGCGAAGCTGCTACACTCTGTTTCTGTCATGGGGCATATTAAGAGGGTAGCACGAGTATGCCAGTCACTTCAATGCTCTCACTGTTTCATATGGTTGTTGCATTTGGCCACTTCTCTACCGTCCCTCAAGGACCCCCTTCAGCTGGGGACCTCTGATGGTGGCAGTCAGAATATTGGAGAAACAGCATCCTACACAGGAGACTTTAATTTGGTTTAAAATACCCTCAAATACGGGAGAATTGGCAACCCTACCTATGCTTTAAAGGCAGCGGGGGCCGGTCTAATCTGCTCAGGTACAGCCATCGGTACTTGGTGCTAACGTTTACTCACAATGCTAAYGTTTGAGCTAGCATTTTACTCTCAGGATCCTCAGGAGCGGAGGAACCAATGGGATGGCAGACTGCTCCCAAATGGCAATCAAAGGCCAAAATACAACCCAAGAATGAACCACTGGCATGAAAAATGACATTTTAATCCCTAATTAAATATTGATACAGTGCTTTAAAGCAGTGATTCCCAACCAGGGGTACGTGTACTCCCAGTGGTACACGAGCATRTTACAGGGGGGTACGTGGAAACATTTCCCATGTGTGTAAAAAAAATAATTGATAAAAATAGGACTGAGATATGTAGGGCTCTATGATTTTCTCAATGCGAAAAATGTAGACAGAATCCCGGAATTGACTAAACAAAATAGAATCCAGTATAAAATGCAGAATCTCACAGAATTTGCAATTTTGGGTGAGTTTCTGAGGTATTTTGGATGCTGCTGCTTCCTGTACCTGCCGTTACTTGGTCTATTCTTTTAACTACTTATTCATTTTCAAGACAACATATTTATCTTTATGTTGCCTGAAAATTAAATGTTAAGGGGATCAAATAAATAATTTTCATTTAATAATTAATTGTTATACATTATAGTTTTGGAGAATCATCATTACGTTTGACTGAGGGGGTACTAGGGGTGTGAGAAAATGGCTCAGGGGGTGCACAAGTCTAAAAAGGTTGGGAACCACTGCTTTAAAGAATCAATACGGTATCAGCAAGTGAAATATTGTGATATGTTAGAGTATCTATATTTTCTTACACCCCTAATGATTTTTTTTTACCTTGACTTATGAGATCCCATTTGGAGGTTTTAAGTGAAAAGCTTCACAGAAAGGCAAAGCAATCACTTACTAAGACGTCAAGAATGAACAAATGTCCAATATCATCAGTAAAAAATGCACTTTAGCTTCATGAAAACATACTTTTTACGCAGCTCAGGGTATGCTGTACCTGTTAAAGTGGTAGATGTCACGGATGTTGCCAAAAAGTGAACCTTTATCCTCGGAGCTCAAGGCCAGTCGAGACTGGTTACTGATGCACTCCAAGTAGTCCTGCAGAGACAAAAACAAAGAGGAGTCAGTAAACGGTAGAGCTGACATCTTGGATCGTTTACTCTTTTTGGTGACATTAGTTCAGTGAGTTTTAAACTTTACTTACCTCGGCTTTACACTGGGTTGAACAAACGACAATAAATCACAATGTGACAGAAGTCCAAACAAACTAAAGCTTTTTAAGAAATGTGAGAAGTGAGTCATCCTTAGCTTTCCAACAGCATAGGCACACCTTCTTCAGCTAAAACGACCAAACATTTAGCATGTAGATTTGAATTATCCTCTAATCAAAGAGTTTTATAAAGACGAAAATCTAAAATAAGCCTTAGAAAGCTATTTAAAATCATTGATTAGCCCCTTTTTAACTTGGAGTCTCAGCCTATTGTTGATATTTTGGGTTTGGTTGGTTCTTTAATAGTTTAAACTGTTGTTGGGAAACAAATTTAACAAGCTGAAACATCGGTACGCTCAGGTGGATTTAACCTACAGTCTTATCACAGCTTTAATCACCTCCATTACGGATGTGTGCCAAGATGACTGTGGATGGTAATTTAACAAAACCTCAGGTATCTGCCCCGCAAAACAAAAGTGAAAGGTGGGATGAGAAAGAAGTCAGATCAGCAGATGTGAGGAACAGATTGTATTGTGTGTAGGAAGCATTTAGATTACAGGGGTGGGCAATCCTGGTCCTTGAGGGCCTCTATCCTGCTCCAACACACCTGACTCAGTGATTAAACTGCCTCTTCAAGTTCTATAGCAGCTTGATAATCGCCCGTTCATTCAAATCAGGAAGTTGGAGCATAAATAAGTTAAACACGCAGGACAGAAGCCCTCAAAGAACAGGATTGCCCACCCGATTTAGACACTTTTTTTTGTTTCACTGCAACACAAACTGAACAGTTGGCTGCACAGCACAAAAATTTGATGCTTCACGAACCAAATCAACAAAACTGATCCCCTGGAAAATAAAGGCCCTCCTTTGCAAATCATACTAATCTTTGTGTTGCAATACTGGCAAAGATGGCACAAATATATTCAGGCTTGAAGGGATCACACATACCATCTGCCTTTGTGCTCCCTTTTATTAAATGTCTCCTGCTTGTCTGTCTCCATCAGAGCTCTGACGGTATCTGTTCCTGCAGGCGAGTAAAAGTTGCCAACCTGACCAAAAGCGCAATTAAAGCGTACACACACACAAATGAGGTGCCATGCTCGCATACGGGATTATTTCTCAGAAAAAAAAACAAAGTGCTCTAATGGCGGCTCAGTAACAGGTTTCCAACCAGCCTGAAACTGGGCAGCACCGCAGAGCACCAGGCTGTCGTCGACATGCACAAACACACCCAGTAATCATTTCATCACCTGCAACTCTTCAGCCACAGAAAGACGAAAGAAAAAGCATTCCTTATTGATCCTCTTCGGTTTGTTTATTTTCAGTCGGCTGGTTCACTTTCTTTTTTAATTATTCACCCATTAATGTCCATGCAAGCAGAAAAACATTTACCGGTTTTAAACGGGCAATATCGTGTAAAATCAACTTTTTTGAGTTTTATATCTTGTTATAATGTTATACTCTCATAAAAAAAAAACATGCCCAAAGCCTTGCCTTGACTCATCCATGCATGTTTGAGAAATCCTGCAGCGTTTTTAGGAAGTTGAGGAGCAAAACAACAGGTGGGGACCAGAAACGCCCCTGGGACGTGTCTTTAAGCCGAACTTCCACATCACGAAGCACACCTCCCCACCCCCACCCCTCCCCACACACCCCGCCCATGACTCCTGCAGGCTCTCGGGTGAAAGTGAAACCTAACTGTCTGCTGAGCTCTCAACATTAGGTCTCACTCAGTGAAAGCTATTTTTAGATTAATCAATCAATTATAAATAAATATAAAAGAAATTAAAATGAGGTTGATATTTTCCGCAGTTTATGAAGCCGGAGGAAGATTCATAGAGAATAAATTGTGCCAGCTTGGAAACAGGAGGTGGGAAGCAATTTTACAGCTTCAGCAGAAGGGTTGGGCAATATCGGCAAAAAAAAAAATAGTAATAATAATCACGATTAATTGTGGTATTTAGCCGATAACGCTTGCATGTCCGAGTCACATGCCCAATTTAAATCACTCTAGCGGGAAAGATTTCATCTTCGTAAAAATCTGTTTTAAACTGTGTCAAAAGTACAGACTTCAGGCTATACATCAATTTTTAAATTGTGTTGATACCAAGTAAAACCGGAGTTATGATAAATAAATTACAGCACGTTTTTAAAAGATGTTTGTCATATTTAAAGCGGAGAGGAGCATCGAGCGGACTGACCGGGGTAATCCCAGTATTCATCAAATTAGTCGTCAAATGCCAAAAAATAACGGATTAAAGATTTTCTGACAATTAATTACAAACGGTGCGATCTTGCCCAACCCTGTTGTGCGTTGTTTTTACAATCTCCGGCCCGGGTCAGCTCGTAACTTTTTTTTTTTTACGTACGTAAATTTCATAACTTCGTAAGCACGTCGTTTAAAATGGTCTCTAAACAATATTTTCATTTATCGCAATCATTTCTGAGACAATTGACTGCCCAGAAAAATTTGTTATTGTGACGAACCTAGTTATAGAAGCAACTTAGCTGTGGTGTGTTCACTGACCAGATAAAAAAATAAGACATTTGAGTATCAAATGGACCACTCAAATCAGTCAAAAGAAAAACTGCCAAATTCTGGTCATCAGTAAATCAACTGGTGCATCTCCGCTTAAAATAATTGCACAAACCAGAGTTTTGGTTTCTCCCATGGACCGAGGTTAAAGAGACAAAATGTCCAGACGTGAGGGTTCGAGTTCCAGAAGGAAACAATGAAAATCCTGCCTACAGGCAGGCTGCTGGTTATGCTCTGGGTTGCATCAGGAGGTCATGTTTAGTGTTTGTTGACCGTTGGCAGTATTATGTAAGGTGATGCTTTATTAGGTACAGGGTCAAAGGTCTGACCCGGCCTGACCTGTTCACTCATCACACCCGGCCTCCGTGAACCCAACACTGAGATCAGCTCAGGCACACACCTGAAGGCTCACTCAGACATAACTTCTACAAACCSGAAGCTTTCGTGTGTTAACCATTAACCTCAAGCAGTCTTTCCCCGAAACAAAACCGTAACACTACGCTGCAGTAGGAAGCAATTACTCCGGATAATGCAAAGTGCTAACAAGCAAATCTCCTTCCTCGAGCATTTCCAAAGATCAGCTGATGCTTTCAGATTATTTCTAAATTTCTGACCAACTTCGGATGGTCYGTTTGTGCAGCTCAGTTTTAAAAGTAATAAAAAGGTGAGTGGAAAAGAAGTTCAGTTTTCTTCTTTAAAGGGATCCATGATTAGTTGTAACATTAGACTTTATTTAATAAA